GTCAGCAAGGCAGTGGGCTCTGAATTCAGACCTTACCCTGGGATATTTTTGTACTGTTGCGGTTCCTCCTTTGCACTTAGGTTAATCTGCTGCTGTTTTTAGATCACACCTCATTCTCATCATTCCACACAAGTGTAGACTTAGCTCAAGTTTTTAAAATTTGTTGCATTTTATGGATAATTTGGTCTGTTCCTTTTTTTAGATCTGCAAGCCACTCTTCAAATTCAGAATGACACCAGAGGGCAGAAAATATTTACCTTCTAGTCCTGCATTCTCTTCCCAAGAGTGGCCATCTAGATGATCCCTTAAGTGGGGCAGCAAGATACTAGACTTCCTTGGTTATTTCCACCAGCTTCTGACATTTGGAGGTATACTGCTTCTGCACACAGAACCAGAGGCAGCTTCCCAACACCTGGGATTGGAGATAGGTCCTCAAGTCAGGGCAGAGACAGCTGAGGCCCTGCACCACTGCAAGTGTGATGGCCAGCCTGGCATGGAGAAAGCTTATTGGACTGTGCAGAAGCTACGAGGGGATTCCTGCTGCACCGGAGCATGTGCGTTGTGTGGCAGACGTGAGCGGCCTTGGCACAGCCCTGTGCTTTCGAGACTCTGGCTCTGCTTTCAGACACATGGCAGAACGTTGGGCGCATCTGCCAGCTCCAAAAGCAGCTGCAAAGGGGGCTTGCCTCTTTGCCTCCACTCTGCCACTCTGGTTGAGGGAAATCAGGCAGTGTAACACTTTGTCAGCTACCTGTGGCTGCGGCCGTAGCACCAGGCAGCTGCAAAACGGATTTGTTTCCAAATAGTGGCACATGCTTTCGGAGCGTGCCTTTTCCGCTCGTTCTGTTTATTCGCTGGCTTGTTTTTAAATCCCACTTTTTGGCTGACGATACCGGGGTGGCAGATTCCGGTTAAATAATTCAACAATGCTTCATCATTCTCCAGCAACCTGTCGTTGCCTTTCCCTCTGCCATATGTGAAGCAGTAACCATCAGTTGCTTCAGACATCTTGTAAAGACTCATCTGTTTGCACCAGCCTTTCCTGGAACCGTAAGATTAGACCCTGTTTTATTTGTTTGAATCACTCAGTTATATTTTTTAATGCTTTTTTTGTAGCACTTTTATTGATTTTAGGTTGTATTATTTATTTCATAAAATCTATGCCCCACTTGATTGTTAAGAAACAAGTACCTCAACGGTCTACAAAGACATTTTAATGATGGTTGTTTTTAAAAGAGAGAGAGAATGTGTATATAGTACACCGCTTAGAGATTTTTAAACTATTGAGTGGTTTATAAATGGTTTTAAATAAATCAATAGGCTAAGGTTAGCCTATTGGAGTCTAGCCAAGAGTGCTGGATGCATTAATGCTCCTAAATACCTGCTGTTGGGAATCACAAGTGACTTCAGACCCTCCAGGTGTCTCTATTTTCCAGGGACCATCCAGGATTTACAGAAGCTGTCCCGGTTTCTGATTTGATCCAATAATGTCCCACTTTTCCTTAGGCATTCCCTATTTTCATTGGAGAAATGTTGGGGGGTATGCAAGTGGGAAGGTTCTGCTTATGGGATTCCCTTTGGAGTTTCCGGTTGTCCACTGTGCAAACAGGATGCTGAACTAGATGGGCCTTTGGTCTAAGCCAACATACGAGACTCTTCTTGCATTATAATGTTCTTAAAATTCAACACTACTGTTCCCAGGAAGGGAAGGGGGCAATGTGCTTTATGGGTACACAAAGTTAACCAAAAATAAAGCAGGATTTTAAGCCTCCTCACATTCCAGCAAGACAAGCATGTTTCTGGCTGAGCAGGCCCTTTTCAAAGCCCCTCAGTGAGTCAGGTGTCAGTGGGAACCAGAAGTGCATTGCCCCTAAGCAGGCAAGGAGGGAGCTTGGTTCAAGCTAGAGAAACAAAAGGAAGCTGTGGAAGCAAAGAGTAAGAGAAGCCCCTTCAAACAAGGAGGCAGCATCAAATGGGCAATTCTACCTGGATGTCTGAGGCTGGCTAAGCACATTAAAGGATAACCCTGCCATCCAGCAGAGGGCAGTGGTGTTCAGTGACAATTCCCAGCACATGGCTGGGCTCTGTGGGTTGTGAGGATAGTTGCATTGGCCAACTCTTCAGCTGGTTTTTAGGGGCTGTCTGGTGGAGAGGTTGAGACAGCCCCTAAAAACCAGCCAAAGAGTTGGCCAATGCAACTATCCTGCTTGTCCCTGCCTGTTCCCAGCTGTGGCAACAAAATATTTTGCTCAACTTCCATAAGAAAGGTATAAGCAAAGTTTTGCAATGATATTGTGGGTGAAAGCCAAGGCAGGATACTGAAAGAGTCCAGCTCCTCTGCAAATAAATATGGGGGAAAGGAAATACGATTTACAAAGTGGGTTTGCAGGGTAGCTCTTGGCTCGGAGCTTTTGCACTAAACCAGAAGTGCATAAAGCAGACCAAAGAAAGGAAATCACAGTAAAAAAAAAAGACACAATAAAAAATAATGAAACAAAATGCTTTCTGTGTTACCCAGTTGTGGCAAAGAAGCATAGAGGTCGTGCAACTGATGGCCCAGACTACTCCAGCAGTCGTGCAAATGTTTTCAATCCACATGTCTGAAAACTTCCTGGGTTTTTTTTTGTACTGGTGACAGGTCAGCTTTTCATATGTGGCCACAAAGAACCATGGGAACTGTACTTTGACGTGGGTGCTGGGAACTGTAGCTCTGTGAGGGGTAAACTACAGCTCCCAGGATTCTTGGGGGATAAGTCATGAACTTTAAATGTGCTTTATATGTATGGCACAGATGCAACCTATAGGACCCTACGAAAGCAAGCTTTAGAACAAAAGCAAGCATTTTGCTCCTGTGCAAATGAGGTCTGATCAGAGAAGCCTTAAAAGGATTAGCATAATTTGTAAGCTGCAGAACAGCATAGATTGAAATCTGCTCTTCCGTTTTAGAATGGGGCAAGCCAGGAGCAACTCTTACTCCAGTGACACTCCCATGTCGCCTGCTTCCATTCTGGAACAATGGGCTCAGGTGATCTTGGGGTTTCTCCCTCCTACTCTTCTTCTTTTTAGGCATAGTGGTTACTTGGGAGGGGGTCTCACCTGCCCCCTTTTCTTAAATTTGGACAAAGTGGCATCTTCTGCCATGGTGGGTAATGAGGGAGGTCTCCCTCTCCCTCTCTACTAGGGTTCGAGGAAAACGCAGAACAATTCAACGAGTCTTATGAAGTTCCTTGATGCTTTGCATGGAGAAGATCCCAGACTCAATCCCGGCATCTCCAGGCAGGGCTGGGAGAGAACACTGCCTGAAACCCCAGAGAGTCACTGTCAGTCATGGTAGACAGGATTGAGCTAGATGGAGGAGAGGACTTTCAATGGCTCCTATTGATGATGGCTGTGTTCTGCCCCTGTCGTTGGAGGAAGTAATGCTTCTGGGTGCTAGCTGCTGGAAACCACAGGAGGGGAGGGTGCTCTTGTGCTCAAAACCTATTTGCAGGCTTCCCACAGGCAATGGGTTGACCACTGAGAACAGGATGCTGGGTCAAATGGACCATTGGCCTGATTTAGCAGGCACTTCTTATGCCCAAGGATCTGACTAAGGCAGCTTGCTATGTTCTCTATCTTACTATAGTGCGCTGATAAGAACACTTGTTTTGCATGCAGAAGGTCCCAGGTTCAGTCCCTAGCATCTCCAAGTGGGGCTGTGAAAGGGGACACATACACACTGGTCTAAAGCCCTGGAAAGCTGCTGCCAGTCTGTATAGACATTGCTGAGCAAGATGGACCAATGGACTGGCTCCTTATAAGGGAGCTTTCTGTGTTCCTTTGCAATGACCTTGCAAGGTCACAGGCACACTGCGCATCCGTATACCTCCTCCCTGGCCTCTTCCATGCACACACACTTTCAATACAAAGGTAACATTATCCCACAGGCCTTGAAAAGGAAGGAGCCTGTGAACTGGCAATAATGCGTTTGTCAAGTGGGAGACAAAACATTTCAATCAGAAGCTGCCATTGTCAGTGGGGAATGCTGAAAATGCCAAGCTCCCCTTCTGCATGGCTTGGGGTGGAATATTAACAAGTGCCATGCTGTGCCATGCCATGCCTCTGCTCTTCTTCCAGACTCAGCAAGGATCCCAAACTCTTGCAAAAGTCAGGAATTCACTTCTGCACAAACTGCCCAGGAGACCAAAGGGAGTGGGTGGTGCTGGAGGAATGAGCAGTTTTTGTAGCCCTGAACTCTCTCAACCTTTGCTGGGTGCAAAGTGAGCATGTGACGTACCAAGAAAAGGCAACTCAGAAGGAAAACAGAAAGCGGAAAGGGGCAGTAGGAGACCCTACATAGGAAAACGCCGCTTTCCTTTGCATGGGTCAGGGAAACCAGGCAAACAGCTTTGCTTTCCCAACTCACTCCCCCCTGAATGCAGAGCTCTCTGCTGGGAAGATAGGCCCACCTCCCAGTCTCTCAGCCAGCTTTCGAAGCTCATTCTTGGGACTCCCTAATCGACACTAATATGACACCTCTGACCCCACTGCATATTTAGCCTCCAATATAAAGCAGCAGCTTTTATGCCACGATTGTAATGACTTTTAAAAAATAAATAGGGACACTGTCGCAAGTAAACTTCAGTGCAATAAAAGCTTCTGCTTCAATCTATAATTAATCAAGGAGCTGCTTAATGTAGGGGAAAGAGAGGAAGGAACGGGGAGAAAACAGGACTCAGGATAAGCGTAAAGCACCACTGGAGGCATGTGGGGAAGGAGGCCACAAATATCAGTGAGGCAAAAAACAGGGAGGTGGGGAGCATGAGTGGTTAGGTTTTTGCACAAAAACAAACAAAAAACCCCCAAGAACAAAATAACAGTGAGGCTGATCAGGGGCACAGGAACATAGGAACCCCCCTATACTGAGTCAGACCATTTGTGCAGCTAGCACAATATTATCTACACTGGCTGGCAGCAGCTCTCCTGGGTTTCAGGTTAGGAACACTCCCAGCTCTGCCTAGAGATGCTGCCAGAGATTGAACCTGGGACCTTCTGCATGCAAAGCAGGTGCTTTATCGCTGAACTATGGCCCGTCCCTACCCATATCACATACTGTAATTGCTTGCTCCTAAAACAAGGCACTGTCAAAGCAATAATATAGAGGATGGTCTTGCAACAAATAATTCATTTGTGACATGAGCTTTCATAGGCAGGAGTCTCCCTCTTCAGGACCTCTGACCTGCTTTCCACATCACATTGTCATGCATTAGGCTGTAGCCTAATGAAAGAAACTCCTGCTTTCATTTCATTTCATTACTTAGTTTTAAAGTTGCAGCCACCAGCCAGACTCTTCCTTCCTAGTACACCAGCCTCCTTTTCTGGAATTTATCCAGAACACCATAATTCCCCAAGGAACTGGGCAGAACTGTGCTGCAAAATTCAGAGGGGTGTGAATTCTGAAGGATGGTTTTGTTTCAGTTGCTGTATTGTTCTGGGAAGTGCACATTAGGAAGCTTTTCCTTTTAAATGTGACCTGAACTGAATTTCTCACCTATCTCTGCTCCTAATAGATTTGGCAAGTCATAGACACATCCAGAAATGAGCAATTCAGAGAAAGCACTTGGGGAGTCTTGAGTGCACCCCTTTTTCTTTCAGAGATAGACAGAAAAGCCCCTTTTCCAGGCCCTGTCAGCAATTTACTCCTTCCGGCAGCATGGAGTGGGGAAAAGATGGGGAACAGACCCATCTGGAGGAACATACAGGGGACTCCAGATGGACCAAGCTCATGCAACAGGTGCATGGATGGGGTGGACGGGATTTTCTAGGCTGCACAAATGTCTCTCTGTCTGGCAACCAACTATCCATGGGCCAAGGGATACAATCTGTCCCTTTAATAACACAGCCTGAGGTCTGTCACCACCCTGAACAACCATAGAGGCCAGCTCCCAAGAGACAGATGGAGGGCAGTTTAATCCAATTAATCAGAGAATGTTGGTTCTTATTGTGCCAAGAAACTGGCCTGTCTGCTCTGATGTCCTGGTCTGAGACCCAGGGGTCAGCCCAGAATGCCTGCCTTTCATCAGAACAGTGTGCCTCTCCCACCTCCAAGGCACAAGGCTCCTCCTTTCTCCTCTAAACTAGGAACAGGGAACCTTTAGCCCTCCAGATGCTCCTGAACTACAACTCCCATCAGCCCCAGCAAGTATGGCCAATGAGCAGGGATGGTGGGAGTTGCAGTACATCGACATTTGGCAGGCTAAAGATCCTCCAAGCCTCCTGTAACTGCCAGGGGTGGCCCTTCCATGAGCAAGGTGAAGCCATTTGCTTCAGGTCGCAGATCTTACCACTGCTCCTGCCACTGCACTGCTGCCAGCACTGCAGGAACTTTGCCTTGCCACTGCTGCAGCACCAACATCCTTGCCACTGCCACTGCACCCACTGCGCCCTTGCTGCTGCTGGGTTGTGGCGGCAGTAAAGGCTCAGGCAAAATGCAGTGGTGGTGAGGCTGGTGGCAGCACAGGTGTGATGGGGGGGAAGGGAGTGTGTCTGGATCCGCAGTGGGGTATTGCTAGAGAAGCAGGGATGTCACCAGGGCATTTTGCCTACAGTAGAAAAATGTCTTGGGCTCTGCAGGGATACAGGAAGTTGCCATATCCCAAACCAGACCATCGGTCCATCTAGCTCAGAAGTGTCTGCACTGACTGGCAGTGGCTTTCAAGGGTTTCAGGCAATGAGTCTTTTCCCCAGCTCTACCTGGAGATGCTGCTGGGGACTGAACCCGGGACCTTCTGTTTGTGAAGCAGATGCTCTGCCACTGAGCTTTGGCAGAGATACCGTACTGAGATTCTGTGAAGCAGACCGATCCAGTTGCCCTGGAAGCAGAACCAAGGTGGGTTTCTAATGCCGGAGCCCTGGAAGGAGATGACCAGCTGGCAGCCAATGAGCCTCAACTCCTCACTTTAAAACTTGCACTCCAGACCCAGTCTAGGCCAGGGGTGGCCAGTTTCTTGCCTGCCACATACTGCTGGACTACAATTCCCATCATCCTTGACAATTGCCCATGCTAGCTGGGACTGATGGGAAGTGGATTTGGAGAGCTCCAGGTTGGGGAAGGCTGGGTTGGAGTTTTGGACTAGAACAGGGCAGACCTGGGTTAAGATTCCCACTCAGCCATGAAACTTGCCAATCACCAGCTCTCAACCTGACCTACCACACGGGGTTTCTGTGAGGATAACAGGGAAGAGAGGGACCATGTATGCCTCCAGGAGCTCCTTTGAAGGGAAGCGTGATATTATTACTAATAATGCCATTCATCTATTTGGGAAGTGTGGATATTTATTTATATTCATATATTTATTTATTTATTTATTTATTTTATTTGTCTAGCCTATTATCCATCCATATATGGCGCCTTCCTCAAAGTACATAATTCTCCCCTCCCCCTTTAGTCTAAGAGACAGTGACTAGGTCACCCAGTGAGCCTCGTGGCTGATTGGGGATTTGAACCCTGGTCTGTCCAGTCATAGTCCGACACTTTAACCATGACACCACACTGGTGTAATGTTACACCACATCGTCCGCAACTCTAACCATTAAATACTCTGTCGCTGCAACAGAAGAACACTATAGCAAGCAGGGTCATTTCTTCTCTCCCCCCCCCCCATCCCACAGCCCAAACACAAACACAAAGACGTTTTCCTATGTCCAACAGCTCCGACAGCTGAATTCCTTATGGTGTTTGCAATAAACACCGCAGTGTAAAATATTCTCTGTCTCCCTCCTCCCTGCCTCCATCTGCCAGGGGTTCTAATCTTTAATCCTGTCCTAATCTGTTCCACAGAAGGGACCCCCACCCAGTTGATATCTGGGGTCCAAAGAGCTGTCTCCTCCCCCATCCTCCCTTTTCCCCTGGGCGCAAAGTAGTGATTTAATCAGAGTAGGTGGAGGGCCGAGGAAAAGGGCAAAAGTCAGTGTCAGGCTGCAGCTGGGGGGTGGCTGGGCAGGAGGGTCAGGCAGCCATATGCTCTGAGTCAGGAGAAACCCAATTCATTAATTTACCATTGCAGAGCCTTCCTTCCTCATATCTTTCATAGCTCAAGCAAGTGGGATTTAACCCTTTGGCCTGTGTGGGGAGTGAGCCTTGCTCTGTTTCTCTCCATGGTAGGATCTAAGCTAGATAACATTCTGTGGATATGAATTCCTATGGGAAACCTTCTTTTGGCCCAAGAGCCACTTACCCTTCTTCCAGGGCCATATGCCAGAGGCAGGTAGGGCAAAAGGCGAAGGTAGGCAGAGCAACAAATGCACATTTTACCTTTGTAAAGTGGGCTAGTTTCTGCACACACACACCCATCTCTATCCCCCATCCAGACAAGCAAGAGGCACAGCCTTGGTGTTGGGCATCGCTGTGGGTCTTGACAATTGCCTAACGATAGGGTTGGCCCTCTGGTTTTGCATGAAAGGTGCTTGGGACACAACCCCTGGCACACACGGAGCCCTGGGAAACAACAGCCAGCTGCCATCCACTGGGGATTAGTACCAGTGTTTCCAGTCTGAGGGCCTGATGCTGCCGCTTCCCCTTCCAGAAAGCAATTGTGCTTGGATGGGATACAAAAGGTAAACAAATAAATGCAGGCTTTGAAATCCCTCCTGGCATAGCATCATCTGTGAAATTGATAAGTGTACCATTTGCTGCTTTATCAAAGATATTAAACAGAGCCCGACCCGGGAGGAAAAAGCTAGAAATTCAAAATGAATAAACTGCAGGGCTGAGAGACTGATAGCTGTAAAATGAAATTCAGCAAGGATAATTGTAAAGTGTTGCAGACTAGAGAGGAGACGAGCAAAAGTCGCTAGTATAAGAGGAAGATGAATCGGCTCGGGAAGAGCCTGTGAAATAAGCAAGGGGCTGGTGCAGAAAAAGCAAAGCTCGGTGCTGAGGCACAGGTGCCAAGAAAGCCCAGGTTTGTTTGTTTAGGGAATGCCTCTTTCGGAAACTTGGCTTGTTGCAAAGCATGGGGGGGGTGGACAACAACTAGGAGTAAATTTTATAGCTCAATTTGAATGAGTTAAATCTGAAGGCAGCCTGGCTCCCTGGGATTGTTTGAGTTCATCTCTAATTATTAGCTGAAGCCATAACAATGTGAGTCCTGCTAAGGGAAACGGCTTCTGCTTTGAAGCCTGGGCAGGAATGCACAGGATGCCTGTCAGCTTTACAAGGAAGATCAGGACTCTCCCGCTTTGCAATCCCTCCCAAGCTTAAACGGCTTGGCTGATGAGGCACAATGGCGATGGATAGGAGTGGAAGATATGCCTGTTCTGTGTATGCTCAGCTCTTGCTGTTTGGCCCCGGAGCTTAAAGCAGAATCATGGCCCAGGACTCACAATTTGTGTTATAGAGGGGGTGGTTGGATGTTGACCAGGGGTGGGAGGAGCTTGGGGATTTTGGAGCTGGGAGACCCTGGCAGAGGCGTAGCAAGCCCAGGTGGTACTCAGTGCGGAAATTTTTTTATCACCCCCCCATCGACAGCTTGTATAGGTATAGGTAGGCTGAGAGTCGCAGGCAGGTGCCAAATGTCACCCCCTCAGCAGTTCACCTGGGGTGGTCCACTCCCCTTCCTACACCTCTGCACCCCCACCCCTGTGACCCCCAAGTACCCCGAGCCATCGGGGGAAGTGGCGAGCTATGGCGCTTTGCTGCGCACATCATCCTCTTGGGAGCCATGGCTCCTGTCCGTCCCTCTCGCTCCTTCCCTGGCTCCCTGTAAAGCAGCAAAGCGGGGGCTGTTTACGGTGAGCTGGGGAGGGAGGGAAACTGGGAGGGGCCCCCCGGCTCGCTGTAAGCGGCTCCTGCCAGTGGCAGAGGGATCCCACTGCCGTCCATACAGTGCTCCAGCAGCGGCAGCAACAAACCGCTATGTACAGCACGTGTGTGGTGTCGCTATGTACAGCGCATGCGTGCAACACTGCACATGCATTGTACGAAGTGGTTTGCTGCCACCGCTGCTCGAACACCATATGGATGGTGGCGGGATTTTCTGCTAGCAGCTGCAGCCGTGAATGGAGGATCCTCCACATGAGGCTGCGGTGGCGCGATGGTTGCTCACGCCACTGTGCCCGGGCCGAGGCAGCAAGGCAAGTTGGGTCCAGGGGAGCAACCAAGAGGGTTGGCAAAGGGGTGCTCAGCCCCTGTGCTGTGACCTCCATGCCACATACTTCCTGCTGTGAGGCATCTCCTTCCCCCCTTTTGAGAGGCAACTGAGAGTAGTGCCAACACTAACTCCATCTCTAAGGATAGGAAGGTAACACAGACTTTGAAGACACCCCCACCCCAGGAGTACCCATTTGCTTGCCCACTCCCGGGACTCTGGCTGTGCTAAGGCTGTGCCTGCCCTGCTCTTCAAAAGGAAGATGCAGGGGGTGTTTTGCTTGTTGGATCAAAGTCTTAGCTCATGCTTAGCCATGCATCTGTACCTCTTATTTACCTGCTGCACCTTGTAATCTATGCCTTGCCTGTGCACTGGTCTGATTTATCCATTAAAGGCTTTGACAGAAACTGGACTGTGAATTCTAGATCTTTATCTGGCAGTGAATGCCAGGACAATTTGGCACAATGTGTCAGGCACCACATGTAATCGGAGGTGGGGGGTTACTTTCTTCTTGAGTTAGAATTCCACCCTGGTTTCCTACACACACACACACCTGCCTCCTCCCTATGGTTGGAAGGTTTGTTACCTTCCCCTACACTGAGGGCTCTTTCTTTTTAAGACATTGCAGGGAAATCACAAACTCACTCCCAGCCAGTCATTTTACTAACATAATGCATAGCTAGACCTCTGCAAATACATTTCCCAGTCACATTATGCATTTTTGGCATCAGCTCTAGCCCACAAAAGCTTATACCGCAATTAAATCTGTTAGATTTCACACACCACAGGACTTTGGGTTGTTTTTGCACAACTGATGAACATGGCTAATCTTCTAAGATTTGTTTATATGAAGGAGCCACCCATTTCATGGTTTTTTCAGAGACGGTGAATCCAACTCAGGGCTTGCATTAGAAGTAAAAGCTGTTTGTGTTCTCTTATACATTTGAGAATGCAAATGAGGAAGGTCCCCTAATATTAAGAACCAGTATGGTGCAGTGGTTAGAGTGCTGGACTAGGAGCAATGCAGAACCAATTTTAAATCCTCATGAAGCTGATTTGGTGGCACTGAGGTAGTCACCTATCCCTAAGCCTCACAGAGTTGTTCTTAGGAGAAAATGGAGTAAGGAAAACCCATGTGTCCCTCTGTGCAGAGGAAGGAATGCCAGAATGAAGGAATGCCAAAATGATGATGATGGTATCCTGTTCTAGTCTGGGACCTCCAGGAGGTAAAATCTGGCAAGTGTTCAGGTTAGTTCCCAGGAGTTTCAGGACCACGGTCAGTTCCTTGCCTCACTAGGTATAAACTCAGGCTGGACACAAGACATGCATAAGCATCAGGCTTGGAATGCTGCTCCAGCAAAGGCCTGGTCCCAACTGAGTAGTCCTGCTGTCAGGTTGGTGTCCCAAACTCTGGCCAATTTGGTCAGTGGGGGTATTAAAGGCGCTATGACCTATTCCTCAAGCCCTGCCTCCGAGGGAGATGGAGAGAGTTCTGGGGAAGGTGATCCTCATCATTACTCTGGTTGCCCCTTTCTGTGTTGGCAAAGGTTCAGAAAAGGGCAGAAAAAGAATAAACAAGGGACTGGAGCAACTTCCCTATGAGAAAAGGTTACAACATTTGGGTTTGCTTAGTTTTCAGAAAAGGCAAGTAAGCTGCGACATATGTATAAAATGG